GCAACGAATGTCAGTATGACAGGCGGCAATCGCCATTCCTGAACCGTCCGTCTTGGGACGAATGGGTTGATTCGGGTCGAAGTGGTGGAGGAGCGGAGCGGACGTAAATGCTGTTTTCAACGTCTGAAAGGCCTCCGCCTCCTCCTCATTCCATAGGAATGGGCCAGCTTTCTTCCCCTTATCACTTCCCTTTAACATTCCTGTGAGAGGCTGCGCTATATGCGAATACCCCTCGATGAATCTCCGGTAGAAGTTCGCAAACCCAAGGAAGACTTGTAAGTCCTTAAAGCTTGTAGGTTCTGGCCATTCCGTGATTGTCTCAACCCGAGAGGTGTCCATTGAGACCCCCTTTGTGGAGACGATAAACCCAAGGAACTCTACCTCTGTAGTAGAGAATTTACACTTCTTGAGGTTGCAGTACATCTTAAACTTCTGAAGCCTCTCGAGGACTGTGCGGACATGTTGCGGGTGGTCCTCACTACACTTTGAATAGATCAAAACATCATCAAGGTACACGATACACAGCACGTCCACAAGACCTGCAAGGGCCTCATTGATATATGCTTGGAAGGAGGCAGGGGCGTTACAGAGCCCAAACGGCATCACTAGGTACTCGAAGAGGCCATACCTCGTTCGAAAAGCCGTCTTCCACTCGTCCCCCTTCCGAATTCTCATATGCTGGTACGCATCCTTTGCGTCGAGCTTGGTGAATATCACTGCACCACTTAATTGGTCTAGAATCTCTGATATCAATGGGATTGGGTGCCGATTCCTCACCATCATCGCATTGAGGCCACAGTAATCGACACACAATCGCTTTGATCCATCTGGCTTTGGCACAAAAAGGATCGGTGCTCCAGCTGGGCTCGTCGAGTTATGGATCCAGCCCTTCTGAAGCGAGTCCTCTATGTATACCCTCAGAGTCGCCAGCTCCTTTTCTGAGAGGCTGTAGATCGGGCCCCAGGGCAGTTGCTTCCCTGGCTCAATATCGATAGCGTGCTCCACTCGCTTTGAGTATTTCGGCAGCGACGCTGCCCCTTCGTCGTCGAAGACGCCAAGGAACGCGCGGTATTCTTCTGGAACTTCTTGAACCCTTGGCTCTTGTCCTTCCTCTTCCATTCGGTGTAGCATCGCTACATAAACAGGTTCGTTACGGCTCCGCAACCCTTCCCCTTCCTTGTGGGAGAGGTACTGGATGTCCTCAATGGGAAACCTCCACGAGCCCTCTCGCCAGTTAATCATAGGGTTCTCGCGATGAAGCCACGGGTAGCATAAGGTTGTACTCCTCTAGTGCTGTAGCTGAGAAGGAGTAATCTCCTTGCCTTGTTACCCCCTCATCGTCCTTGATGCGGAGGGTGAGCTGAGCCCTTCCCCACAACTGGATTTCCTGGTCGCCTACTCGCTTTGCTGTCACAAAGGTTGGCTCCCATTTTCCCCCTATTTCCTTTGCTACAATGTGCGATATGAGGTTCTCTGTAGTTCCACTGTCTACTAAAGCGCGGAGCGTCCACCACTCTTCCCCACCCCTTACATCAACAAAAGTTGACAAGCTTTGGGTGAGCCCCTTGTTCCCTACTCCACCCACTGGGGCTTCTGTAGAGAGGTCTAGTTTTTTGAACCCCCAGGTCCCTTCTGTACAGCTCGCGCTCTGGGCTCACTGTTGGGCTGTTAAGTGAAGCACTGAGCTGACATATGGCCCGCTCTTCCACACTTGAAACAGAGGTTATTATCTCTTTGGCGCTGCTCTTCTTCGCCTGGAAGGCGAGGGCGCTTCAGAAATGTCTTAGTGGTGCCCCGGCTTTCATTTAGACTAGTCGAAGGCCTCTTGTGAGGCCTATCATCCTGGCTGTTTAGCGTTCCCTTCTTCTGGCCTAATTTGCTTCTCGAGCCTTGTGCCCTCGAGGCGTCTAATTGCTCGAAACAGGCGGCTAGCACAATGAGTGCGCTTCGGGAGCATGGTATTTCTGGGTATGCAATAACCTTATCCCTCACATCTGCCCTGAGCTTTGCAAACAGGTGTTGGACCTGGTGTTCTTCCTTATAGGCTGGCAAGTCTGCCTCTAAGGTCTGAAGGTAAGCCGCAAACGCTTGCGTGGTCTGTCCGACTCGCTGCCACACCTCCTCATACTTGACTGCCATGGCTATTGTACGGTTGACTGGGTCTTGCACTAGATCAAGGAGGAAGCTCTTGAAGCCTTCCCAGGTCTTGTGGAATCCCGGTTCCTTCTCATGCTGAAGCCATGCGTTCAAGGCTCTCCTGCAAGCCAGGTGGCTGCAAAATCGCAGCGTAACGCATCCGATTTGTTGGATTCTGGCTCAAGGCGGAAGGCCAACTCACAACTCGTAACGAACTCAGAGTGTTCGCGGATGGTCTTCCCTCGATATTCAGTGATGGCTCTTGGTCTCCAACTGCGCGGTACGCCTTCGTGTGAGACTGAGCTGGCAGGCGTTATGCTGCGCTCGATAGCTAGGTTGTCCTGCGTTACTGGTTCGACCTTGACGTCTTGGTGTCCTTGCAGCTGGTCTTGCAGCTGCTGGATCCGCTCTCCTGCCTGCTTGAGCTCCAGCTCCTTCCGAAGTTCAACTTCAAGGGCCTGAGCTGTCGCTAGCTGGGCTTGATTCCCGGTGGGCTCTCATGCCGTACTGGAATTGATGAGGACTCAGTTCCCACTACACTCTCAATCAGAGATGTGGTGGGGGCGGTCTCAGTGCCCTCGCGATCAGGGTTGGCAGCGGAGGCATAGCGGCAGGTTTTCTCTCTTGACCTCGTACTGGGCTGTTCTTCCTGATCTCAGGAATGGTTGAGCGTTCAGAATGTAAGGATCTTCAAATGAACAGGGCAGTACGAGGTCACGTTCTAATCACATACGCATAGTAGATCCTGTAGATTACGAAGACTGAACGTAGCCTCTATAATTGTGCTAGGACGTTATAGGCTAGAAGAGGGGGTAATTGTAACAGGTGCCGACCGTTATAGTGCGTATACAGTACAGCCTCGTTAAGACGATTGATTCCGTGCAGCCAAAATATATCATAACGATGAGGATATCGTATATATGAAGCTTATGTAATCCAACTATCTAATGTGCCTTGTGAATACCCGCTGCTTTAATTCCTCCAGTTGACCCTCAAAATGCTCAAATAACCTCAAATAAGAGGTCTGGATATCTTCTCTGCTCTCTATGAACCCAATCAGAACTTGTAGAGCGTTGCTGGCAGCCTGCAGTGAGTATGTAGGCTGCTCAGCTTGGACTTCGTCTTCATCATCATCTTGGGCCTCATGAGAGCCGAGCTCATCCTGTATCACCTCTTGAAGAAGTCTATCTTCAAGCTCCTCCAGTGTCTCAGTCCCTCCTCCCGTTATGTCTTCCTCCTCTTGCTCCTCAATCGGATTGAGGAAGCTGTTTATGCTCATGACATCGTGTATTTGGCCAGATTGTATAACTTGTTCATATAATTGTTGAAGGCCAGAAGGCTCAAGCTGTACTGGAAGGTTGATTGAATTGACAAGAAGAGTTGACCTCCGGAAACAGTTGTAGATAGTCGTCCCTGTAACGTGATAAAACCAACTCCGTAATGCCCATCGAATTGCAAGATGAATGTTCATCGTTACAAGAGGATCTTGGTCTGAGTCGAATGCTTGTAGCATGCATGCAAGCCACTGACGACGGTAATGAATTTTAAATGAGGCAATAATTCCTTGATCAAGAGGCTGGTATCTGCTAGTAGCATTAGGCAGTAGCTAGCATATTCGAATGTTTGAAGGAGGAGGAGCCAATTCTAAGGCTAGAGCATCTGCTGAAAAGTTATCCATCGTTAGTAGTATATCCCTTGTTGATCCTACATGTGTATAAAAGGCTTGTAACCACTCAACCATAATAGTTGAATTCATCCATGCCTTCTTATTATGCCTCCAGTGTACTCCCATTGATGTAAGACTAACTCCGCAAAGAACTCGAGGCATTCGAGCCTTTCCAATAATCCAAAGAGGAAGTCAATCAGATCCTGTAGCGTTGACACGTAACGCAATTGAGATTCGCGATTTATCTTCTTAATTCCTGGTAAGCCCTTTATCAAAAGCTGCGTACGTCCATAACTGTTGCGTTAATCCAAAGGTGTTTTCAACTGCAATTCTCACAGATGATAGAGAAGCATTAAACTGCTTCTCCTTAGAAGGAAGATATCAGTAGCCACGCGCACAAGTATAATTACTTCCGTACACCGGTAAGCTGGGTCTCCATATAGGTATAACTCCCGTTTACCATCCATAATATGCCGAATCCTTTCAACGCAGCTGTAAGGATGCCTTCTCGTCTCTCACTCTAAGGAGCAGACTCTAAGTAGCTGCGGGTTGTATATATTCACGGATATTATGACGATTCTTAAATCGTTGGAGCCAGCCGTTGCTAAACTCTGGGCAAGTCTGGTGTGAGTACTGAGGGAGTTGCTTCCAAATCTGCTGTGCCTTCTGCCGGAGGAGTTCTCCTGTTATGATGGCCCCTTTAGCTTGAATTCGAAGCTGCCAGATTAGAAGAACCTTCTCTAAGTCAGGCCAGTTACCAGCTCAGAGTCGTGATCCCTTAGCTGAGTCTAAAGACTGGTCAAGAGAGGCAAATCGAGGCCCGAGAGATTCTGATATTGTGGATTGGCTGAGTATTCGATTGTATTGGCATTGAAACCATTGCTTGCATGCCCTTTGAGATGGGCGAGGATGTTGCTTGTGAGCCCAGCTGCGGAGCGCTCGGCGCTGTTTGATGGTAATTGAGGCTTTTGAGCCCATTCTGAGCTGTCTAGAATAACGTTGGTAGATATTTAAGACAATATATGAAGGTTTGGATGCAATATTCGTGAGTATCGGGGTTTGTATGGAGTTTTGAATTGGTGCATGAAAAAATATCACAAAAGCAAGGATATTGTCTTAGCACATAACGTCATAACGAGGCTGTACTGTAGTACAGTATAACCTCTTTAAGACGATTGAATTGGTGCCACTAAATATTATCGTTCTATCGAATAAATCGTATTATTGGAGCTTATGTAAGCCATCCATCTAAATTACTTTGAACATGCCTATTCTGGTCTAATGCCTCCAATTCATGCTCCAGATGCTCAATTGCTCTTAAATGAGCTGTTTGGAGCTCAGCACTACCTTCAGTAAATTTAATAAGAACCTGCATAGCCTTCCGAGCTTCTTGTATAGAGTAGACAGGCTCTTCAAGCTGCCCTTCTTCTTCGCGTCGTCGTCATCTTGTGTTTGAGATACACCTAAATGTTCTGCTATCAAGTCTTGCAAGACTTGTTCTTGGTTTGCTTCACCCTCTTCTTCTACTTCAACCTCCTCTTCTAGATTTAGGAAGTTTGAAATTGCCATTGCATCATGTATATTCCCAGCCCTTGCTACCTGATCATAGAGAGCTGATATGTTTGGTGGATTAAGTGGTGTAGGAAGAGAGATTGGAGAAGTGACAAGAGTTGACTTGCGAAAACAGTTGTATATAGTTGTATTTGTAAGGAAGTGGTTCCAGCTTCGTACAATCCAGCGAATTGCAAGGTGTATATTCATTGACTTAAGAGGGTCTTGATTTGCCTCAAAGCATTCTAGCATATAAGACAGCCATTGTCGACGATAATTAGCCTTAAATGACTGAATAATTCCTTGATCCAAAGGCTGAAATCGACTTGTTGAATTTGCAGGCAGCCAGAAAATTTGTATATTTGCAGGTGGAGGTGCTAATTCCAACGCTGTGTAATGTGCTGAGAGTTGTCCATTGTTAATAAGACTCGCCTTGTACTTCCAATATGTAAATAGAAAGCTTGAAGCCATTCAACCATCACTGTTGTATTCATCCATGCTTTCTTATTCCATCTCCATTGCGCTCCCATAGTTGCAACATTGATATTCTTAAAAGCTCGTGGAGTCTTTGCTTTGCCAATAATCCAGACATCAAGTCGATCATTTCCAGTTGCATTAGCACAGAGGACTAAAGAGACCCGTGCTTTCTCCTTCTTTAATCCTGGTTGTGCACAAGTTGCAAGACCTCTCGATGGTGTCATCTTCCAGAATAATCCTGTCTCATCCATGTTGTATATATCTTTTTCTTGAAACTCCCCCGCTAATGTCCGCAAAGCCTTCATCTCTTCTTCTGCTGTTGTAGGAACAGACCCTCCTTCGCCGTGTTGTGTGTACTCTTTGATATTATGTCGTTTCTTGAATTTCTGCATCCATCCGTTGCTGAATTCAGGGCAAGGTTGGCTAGCGTATTGAGGTAATTGCTGCCAGATCTGGTGAGCTTTCTGTCGAAGCAGTTCTCCACTTGTCACCCCTCCTTTCTCTTCGATGTGATGCTGCCAAAGAATCAAGATCTTCTCAAGATCTGGCCACTGCCCAAGTCGAAGGCGTGCGCGATTGCTGTCTTTGATATTATTGAGCCTGTCGAAGTGTGTCGAAAGAGGCTCGGAGACACTAGATTGGCTGATCTTATGGTTGTACTGCTGCTGGAACCACTCGATACACGCTTTTTGGGACGGTCGTGGGTGTTGTTTATGTGCCCAAGCCCGTAAAGCACGTCGCTGTTCAAGGAGTATCTGCTGTTTGCGTGCCATATTCAATAGCTGTAATGACGAAACGGTATACGATAAGACGATACTTGATGAAATTGTTAGGATACCGTGAATATCGTATTTTGTGTGGTATTTGAATCGGTTCCTAAAAAAATATCGTACTATCGAGGATATTGGCCTATTGAATATCGTACCAAGGAGGTTATACTGTATATATATATAGCGTGTTACGCGTATTCCACCAAGCTAGAATACTGTAGTCTTTTTGGCTCAGTGGGATGTAGCGTGAGCGTAACCGTACATCGTTACACTGCTGTATACCAATTTACCCCGCCATCACACAGATTACACAGCTTCAGCCTTACCACCCACATCCGCGCTTAATTAAGCTCTGCTGCCCAGTCACCAGATCCATCATGCATCCCAGGCGCCGTTTAAACTCATCTCATCTTCCTGCTATATGCATGCTGGCTTGAGATAATGCCGTAAGAAACACTGTTCCCCCTCTTATGATCCCAAAGCTAATGGTTATAGGGAATCCGTAGGTCTAGCGCCAGGCGGTGTCGAGGAACCCATCGCGCTGTCTGTCCCACCGCTGAGTGGTCCCCAGCAGCTGCCAGAATCGACGGCTGGTGAAGTCCCAAAAGATGGAGTATGGCTGTCTATCGTCGCGGCTGGTGACAACGGCCCCAGCGATACATCACCCCAGCAAGCAACGACAATAGATGCTTCCCACACTGCACCATCAGTCACCCTCCCACCAACCCCTACGCCCCTCCAGCCAATACCCCCCACTACCGCCGCCGCTCCTTCACCTTCAACAGTGCACAACCCCCCCGAAATCCCAGCCCCCGTCGCAGCCCCCATCCCCCAACCCTCCCTAACATCAACCCACTCCCACCCCACCACCTCACTCAGCCTCTCCAGCACCTTCCCCCCGCCTCCAACCCCACCGCATCCCCCTCCACCTCCCCCTCCTCAACAGACACACAGACCCTAACCTCCTCCCGCGCCGCCCTCGAAGCAACCATCCTCTCCACCGGAACCGCATACACGCACCCCATCGAAGCCCGCGCGCGCGATCTACACGCCATGAACATCGCTCTAGCCACACAACAGACGCGGCTGCTTAGCGTGACTGGGGCGCTGGCCAAGGAGAATGACCGTCTGGCTAAATTAGCTGACGAGGGGCGGAGAAGACTGAAGGAGGCCGGCGCGCTGGATGTGTGGGCCGAGGTGCTCGAGGGCGATTTGGCGGCTGTGGAGGAGTGCCTGAGAATCGTGGAAGGCGGAAGGGAGGAGCGCTGTGAGAGCTGTGGAGGGGATTTGGCCGCCGTCGACGAGGACGCCGTGAGGTGGTGTGAGGGCTGTGATGGGCTTTGGCATGCGGGGTGTTGTGGGGAGGAAGGGGTGGGTGTTGATGCTGCGGGGGAGGGAGAGGGTGTGGCGGATCGAGATGGGGGGGTTGAGTGGAGGTGCAGGGAGTGTGCGCTGAGAGAGGATCTGGAGGCTATGGTGGGGGAGTTGGGCGGGTTTGTGGATGATGAGATGGATACGAGTGGGGAAATTACGGTTGAGCTGCCGAAGGGGGGTGTGGTGCATGATGGGAGGTGGGACTTGGTTCATGATGAGGGAGGAGAGGCCGTTATGGAGGAGGCAAGGAATTGGAAGGGCAAGGGTGTTGTTTATCACCACGAGAAAGATGTGAAGATGGCGGAAGAAGGGGTTGCGGGAGGAGAGGAAGTGGGTGCGATAGCTGGCGCTGTGGATGGAGGAAGTGCGGCAGGCGGAGCGGATGTGCTGGAGAAGCCGGGCGTTCACGCAGATACACCCTCAGACTCAAAGCAGGCGGATCCCATCCAAGATCATGAATCCACGAGTGCTCCCAGCAGCGGAGATCAACCCTTGGAGATGGACCTTTCCGAGTTGGAGGTTGCACCGCCACGACGAGCCGTTTGGACGTGGGGGGTTTAGTTCATGGACTGGTATGTGGATGACGAGCGGAAATGCAGGGAGGGTTGGATATGGGATGATATTGATTTCTGGAGTGCCGTTTGTGGATTGGGTATGGTTTACGATTTATGAAGAATGATCACGACATTTTTTGCACGTTATATACCAAGGCGAGCGTTCCTGCACAAATATACAATTCGATAGTCAACAAAACATGCACGAGTCACTTTTCCTGAAATTTTATGGTTATTGTGATCTTTGAATTCGTTCAGCAACTTAGTGCCTTGCTTCCTTGACACCTATCCGGAGCCCTGTAGCTGATGCTCATGCCACAAACAAAAATACATGCCCCAGTAAACATCCAGTAGATAGTCTACTTGCGGAGTTGGCGCTGGTAGAAAGCAAGCTCCTCACCCTCAAGAACGTAACCGTCAACACGGCCGCTCTGGCCGGGGCGAGACGAAACGACGGCGAACAGACGGCCGGCCTCAAACTGCTTCTCGAGAGCGGCCTCAACCTTGCCGTGGGCGACTTGGCGCTCGGCATGCTTCTTCTCGACCGACTTGGACTTCTTCTCTGGCTCGACGACCTCACCAGTCTTCTGCTGGCGACGGCGACCGAGGTTGGCGCCGTAGTGGGCCTCGTACCACTGGCGGAAAGGAACGGCGTCGATCTGGACGACGGCGGAGCGGGTCAGAGTGTTGGTGCGGACCAACTCGTTGTTGGAAGGGTGGAAAGCGACGGTGATGACGCGGACCTTGCGGGCGATACCCTCAGATCCCCACGAGAAGTTGCCGGAGTCGAGGCGGAGGGCGCGGAACTTGCGGTTGCCACCACGGGTACGGACGAGATGGATGCGCTTGGCGCCGATACGGGTGTTGGCTGGCTGGCGGCCGGCTTCGAAAGCGCGCTTCTTCCCTGCAACAAAAAGATCATTAGAGATATTTTGGACAGGTTGGAACGTATCGCGGACACCCGGTGAAGGGTGCCCAGCTCATACGGGCTTCTACTACGCACGGTAATGGGAACGCTTGGCTCCTGAAGCGGAGCGCTTGTGCCTGGAGTCGCGAGAGATACCCATTATTGCGATTCTGCGAGTGAAGAAGAGGTTAGCCTGTGTCTGTGTAGATATATGATGGTGCCTGTGTGCGGGTGGAGGTGTTTTGGGGGGTTTGTTGTGATTGTTGGGGGAGTCTTGTGCTTCGAGAGATTGGAGGACGAGACTGTGGAATGACGCAGCGGCAATTCATCGAGATGATCCTCTTGAATGTGCGCATCGATGCCATCGACTCTGGCTTGTACATACCAGGTGATTTCTGAAGCGCAAATGTGTTGTGTTGGGCGTTTGGCGGAGGTGTCGTGCTTGGAGTTCGTCGAATGTTCAGATCTCGAGCTTCGAAATATTCTTGCAGTGGGGATGAGGTAAGCAAACCCTAATGGCGAAGAATTGAGTTTAGCGTGGTTGTGTGTTGTTTAGCGAGATATGGCTGCCGCAAATGTCAGGTTGAGATGAGATCAGGCCGACCACGACCAAAATGGACGTCACGTGCTTCTCACCACCCAAACAGGAATAGCTCAGTAATAATACAGTACAGGGTCAAATGGAATTCAGGCAGATAGTACGCCAAGAAGCACGATAATATGAAGGGATTCACAGTGTCGTACGTAACACACTGGAGCACAAGAGCCAAATTCTTTTGAGGGGACCGAGTCTTGAGGGGCTGCAGTAGACCGGCACGGACCCTTTGTTTAGCCGATGGCCCAGATGGGGAGTACGTACCAACTGTACCAGCCCCGAAAAGGAAAAGGGCAGCAACAGCTCGGTTGGCCAGCCCCTCAAGACTCGGTCCACTCAAAAGAATTTGGCTCTTGTGCTCCAGTGTGTTACGTACGACACTGTGAATCCCTTCATATTATCGTGCTTCTTGGCGTACTATCTGCCTGAATTCCATTTGACCCTGTACTGTATTAAAAATCTCCGACGCGCAATTGATTGCTGTGGTCTTCTTGCGACCGTGCCGAAACGATTCAACCCTGATGAATTGCGACAATCGATTATAATTGAAGCGAAGGCGCAACGAGAGCAATGCCCTGGCAACCCCTACCTCAGATCGCATTCGCTGTCGCAAATTTTCCCTTCCAAGCTCAGAATGCAGCGGACCTTCCTCTCGAACTCGGCGATGAACTCTACATAATCGAGCAGGGCGGGAAGAATGGAGACTGGTTTAGGGGATACCTCATTGCGCCGCCGTCTCTGCTGGCTGGCTTGACCAGCGTGAAGGGCCAGACGCTGGAATCTCGGGTCTTCTCCGGCATCTTCCCAAGAAGCTGCGTAGAGGTCAGGGAAGTCTTGGGCGAGAGCAGTGAGGAGGAGTTGACAGAGAGCCTCCAACCCAATGGCTATCATGACGAGACTTTGAGCAAGAGCGAAGGCAGCGCGAATAGCCTGAACAACATCGCACAGAGGCTCACGAACGGAACGAAGAATACGAAGAAGAGAAACAGCCTGCGCGACGACCTGCGAAATGGAACGCTACCACCCGTCGCGCGAGATACGAATGCCCCGAAACCTGCAGCTCCCGTCCCCATGCTGAACATTGGCGACGAGACACCAACCTCCCTCTCCGAACCGCTCGTGGACGAAATCGCATCGTGCCTACGAGAATGGCACTCGGCGAACCTTCACGAACTGTTACTGTCGAGGCAATACCCGCTGCTGGATATGACGACGAGCCTCGTCCAAGGGCTGGATAAGTCAAGACAACAACTCTTACACAACGTCTTGACCACCCACGAAGTCGAACAGCTCCGAGAGAAGACAATATGGGATCTGGTGAAGGGGAACAAGCTTGTGAGCGGCGAAGTTATTGTCAGGAGCCCTACGGAACGGGGCAGGGTCTTGACGGGGGAAGATTCGGCCGTGGAGATTACGTCGCTCCAGTCGATTATGAGCTGTCTCGAAGAGAATCCCCAGCATCAGGTGGAGTCAGTTTCTTTGCATCACTTGTTGGTAGACGTCAAAGGATTTGTTGGCGCGTCGACCGAGACGACAACTCTCGTCTTATACCTGGCGTCCAGAACACAGCAAGCATTTCCAGCTACCTTATCGGAAAGCTTCGTGCTCGAGATTCCTCCCAATGGATCACTAGAAAGCCTGGCCGTAGCTCGAGATATGAGGACGCTGTTCATGGACTTGACATCGGCAGACATTGGCGACACAAACTCGGCGGACACCGAGGTGTTCCTTATCGCAAAGGTCCAGCAGAACCAACAGCCACTGTATGGCAAGCAGCCCGAGTCTCGGTCCGGCATGGTGTCCCGTGAGAACCTTCCATCATCTGTTGGCGAGAAGACATCATTATCTGGAAGTGTTGGGAAATCAGCTCGCAGAAGCCTGATGTGGAGGAAGAGCTCTCAGCGGGCCACCCATTCGCGAAATTCGCCAGTTTCAAAGATGAGTTCCGTTGCCGAAAAGGAAGTGGAAAACCCGCCAAAGACTTCAGACTCAAAAACAGGAAAGACGCCTCCACGCACTGCAACTGGAAAGGTTGTCTCTAGGACAGTCGGTGTGGGTGCCTTGAAGCTGAATTCGATTATGAAGCAAGACGCAGATGTGGAGCAAGTAATGTCCATATGGACACCTTCGGCAGACTTCAATTCGGATTCCCAAACTCTGGGCGAAGGTTGGGATGAAGTCATTCGGGACCTGCTTGAAAGCAAGACAGGCTGCTATGAGAAGTCTGCAAAGGCTGAGCGCATGCATCTGAACCTTCGTCATTTTGCCAGTGAAGATGGAGAGAGTTTAATCAAGGCTACGCCGACTCTCCTGTCGAATGTCAGCCGCACGAACAAACTGGGATTCTCTGGAGCGCCAACGAAGCCGCGATCCGATATTTACGTCACAATTGACAAGGCGACGATCCCACGAGGTGCCCTGCTGTCTCGCGCTACTGGTTCCGCCACAGCGCTGTCAACGCAAATGACTTGCCACAACTTGCAGGTCACCATGGAAGTCCGACGGGCAACTGGTGAGAGGATAGAAAATTGCATATATCCTTCTTCGAATGACGAACCCGCCAGCTCCTGGCAGTCGACGGTCACGGAGCGTGGCGAGGCATGGAATCAGACTATTAGGTTGGTCGTGCCGCCCCAAGATGTTCCTGGATGCCATCTGGCCATCCTCGTTTCTGACGCGCCAAACCAACCATTCGCAATCTCCCACCTTCCTCTGTGGCACCAGCAGGCGTTTACACGCGATGGCCACCACTCATTACTGATGTACAAGTACGACGAGACGACCACTCACACATGGCCAGACACGAATGGCCGGGGAGGCTATCTTGGAGCACCCTGGAACGCACGTGGCAAAGATGATGTTTCCAAGGACGAGGCAATCACCGGACCGTTGTCAAAGATGAGAGTACAGACGTATCTCTGCAGCACTCGATTTTCGCAAGATAAAGTTCTACTTGGTCTTTTGAACTGGAAAGATCAATCTATCGGCGAACTGTCGGATCTCCTCAAACGGCTGGTGTTTGTTCCGGAGATTGAGATTGTGAAGCTTCTGAATGACGTTCTTGACTCCATGTTTGCAGTTTTGGTTGAGCATGCTGGCAATGATACTTTTGAAGACCTCGTGTTCAATGCCTTGGTCACTGTCCTTGGAATCGTCCACGACCGCCGATTTAATCTCGGTCCTCTTGTTGACCATTATGCGGAGACCCAGTTCAACTATCCCTTTGCAACTCCTTGTTTGGTCAGAAGTTTTGTTCGCCTTCTTTCGGATCCAACCGATGCCGAGTCTTCGAAGCGACTGCGAGCCACATTCAAGGTTACCCGACATATTTTGAAGTTTATTACGCATGCGCGAGGGCAACAAATAGTCAAGGAGGCTGACATTGGAATCGCAAACGGTTCTGGATTCTCGCGGCAGCTCCGAGGGATTTTCAAGGCCCTGGATGCGCTCATGCGTAACACGGCGCCGATATTAGTCGGCAGTCAGACGCTGGCTGTGCAGCATTTCCAGGGCTGGCTGCCTGAGCTGAACGGATTGCTTACTACGGAGGAAATTTTGCATATTGCGATCGACTTTATGGACTCGTGTTCAGCGGTGAAGGGCAAGCTCGTCCTGTACAAGCTAATTTTGATCATCAACTACGCCAAACTCGAACTCTTCTCGCAGCCGGATCAGAAAGCCGCGTTAGCAACCAACACTGTAAGGTGGATTGCGCCTCACTGGGGCAAGACTGGAGAGGTTACGTCGCAGTGGCATGACCAAGTTCGACTTTGCTGCTCTGTCATGTCGATCCAGATTGAGATGCTTGGTCCTGAAATCCCTGATCATATTCCCAAGATTATCGACTCTTATCTCGCGATCCAGAGGGCGCCGAGGCGGCCAAGCAGCCGACTGTCCTTGCTGTTCCCTACTTCATATCCATTCGCAACCAAGCCAATCGAAGGCAGCAAGCCCGAGTTTGATGAGGCGCTTGTCGAGCTGTCTGCAATCTTGTCCGCTATATCGAATCGCCCGCAGGGAATGCAGCTGGAGTTGGCAGAAGATGAGATGTCTACGCTGTTGCAAGATGCGCTTCGCGTTCATACGAGCATTCTGGAGTGTGAGGCGTTCCCGAAATCTTGGCTGAGCATACGCATCTATCACCACCGATCTACCATGAAAACCCTCGAATATATTGCGAAGATCTTGCTCGAGTCATTCCTGCCAGACCCGGAAGAAGAGGCTGGCATGGATTACAATACGGATCTGTGGAAGTCGTTCTTCACGACGCTACTGAAGCTTATTGGTAGCGATGCACTCGCGTTGGAGACTTTCCCCGAGCAGAAGAGACGCGCCGTGTGGAAGATTGCGGGTGATATTAGAGAACAGGGAGCTGAGCTCTTACGACGTACTTGGGAAGCCATTGGCTGGGAAACGACCCCTGAGGAGAAGCAACATTATGGGCTGCAGAAGATTGGTGGTTACCAAGTGCAGTATGTACCAGGGCTTGTCGGTCCTATCATGGAGTTGTGCTTGAGCGTGCACGAAGGTCTACGGCGCGTTGCCGTCGAAGTGCTGCAGACCATGATTGCGAGCGAGTGGAATTTGAGTGAAGACCTCTCAGCGATACAGATGGAGATGATTGACTCCCTCGACCTGCTCTTCAAGTCGAAGCCCCTCACCGAAAGCATACTGCAGAAATTCTTCGTCAATGAGCTCTTGGATCTGTTTGAGCCTCTTTCCACAATGCCAGACGACAACATGTATGCCTCGCTGAGCGATATGATTGCGACTATTGACGAGTTCTTGGATCTGCTCGTCGCCGTGTACAGTGCGGACAATGCAAACGAAGCTTCTGCACTCATCGACCGATTACGCCTGATGGACTTCCTCCGGGATATGCAGAAAGAGGAGATATTCATCCGTTATGTTCATCAACTTTCGGTTGTACAAGCAGAATCCCGCAACTTTACAGAAGCAGGGCTTGCGTTGCGCCTTCATGCTGATCTGTACGATTGGGATCCGTTAAAGATTCTTCCACCCCTATCGGACCCAGATTTCCCCGCTCAAAGTGCCTTTGAACGCAAGGAACGCATCTACTTTGATATGATTCAGCATTTCGAAGAAGGGGATGCGTGGAGCAGCGCTCTTGTCGCGTACAAAGAGTTGCGGGAGCAGTATGAAGAGAACGTGTTTGACTTTTCGAAGCTGGCCAGGACGCAGCGAGCGATTGGTTCTGTCTATGAGTGTATAGCCAAGAGCAACAAACCGATGGTGAAGTACTTCCTTGTTGCCTATCGAGGATTGGGATTCCCACCTGGCGTGAGAGACAAGGAGTTTGTATTTGAAGGGGCACCAGCAGAGAAGACGTCGGCCTTCACAGACCACCTGCAGGAACAATACCCAGGAGCACAGATTGTCAGCCAACTCGAATCTGATGATGTCGAAGGGCAGTTCCTGAAGGTCTCGTCACTTGGTCCTTACCGAAACCTAGATCACGCCGTCTTCCAACGAGCCAAGGTGTCTAATGTGACGAGAGATTATCTCTTGTCCGCCCACTGCCAGCAATTCGCCACGACCGTGTCGCGAAATACCTCAGGGCCAGTCGAGGAGCATTTCGCAGAGAAGATGGTCTACATCACGGCCGATCAATTCCCCACGATCTCGCGGAGGAGCGAAATCATCACTGTGGAGAGGATACGTCTGTCGCCGCTACAGACTGCTCTCGAGCGGACGGTCCGGAAGACACAAGAAATGACTTCTGTCGAACGAAAGGCCGCCGATGGCGACGAAGCTGTAGTTCCTCTTCTTGTCGAAGCAATCTCCATCTCTGTATCACATTCATCGGAGTCATCGATTGCACGATACAGAGCCCTTCTTCCGCTCCCTTCGTTTGATGAGGATGGCGAGGAGCAAGTGGTCATACTATCGCCTCTTCAGAGCGCATTGAGGATAGCCCTGATCGACCATGCCATCATGATCAAGCGCATCCTGACTATGTTCTCGAGATCCATGCACCCCACCGTCCGCTACAGACAAGAAGAGCTAACCTCACGTGAGTTTATGAGTCCACATTTTTTATCATTGCTAACAGTTTAGACTTTGAATCTACCTTTGGCCCCGAGCTTGTCACCCTCGCGCCGGTCCAGCCGCGTCAGATAACGCCTGCGCCAACTTCGTCCGTCGCCTCGCCACAACTCGGCTCTGGTATCCCGAGCCCTCCTCAGCCATTGCCAAGTCTGAAGCACAGCAGCACGGTGCAGACGACCTCGAGTATGCCGGAGAGCCCTACACGGCGGAGGGAGCTTGGAAAGCTTAACTTTCTGAACCGACCACCAAAGACGGGGCCGCCCATATCGTTCAAGGGGGCACAGGGGAGGAAGGAGAGCAGTGATGAGGGGTCGTCGATGCACAGCGGTGTCAGTCGCGGGAAGGAGAACCGCCGCAGTTTCTTTGGGCGTAGCGATAGCGAGGGGGATTGGAATACGGATACTGCGGATGGAAGTGGGCTCCGGAGGAGCGAGAGTCATGGGAGTGAAGGGTTGGACCGACCGACGACGGCGACGAGCGTGGGGAGCAAGGTTGGGAGTGTGAGGAAGCGGCTAAGCAAGCTGAACCTCGGCCGGAAAGGGAGTAGGAAGGAATTTCGGGCTGGAGTTGTGATTAGGGAGACGGAATAGGTGTACTGTATATGGGTGGTGACTTTTGGCGCATATAGTGTGTACGGACGAGCGAGTCGTCTTATACCCTCATTTGTTGTCGGTTTGGGAGGATAATAGGTGTTTTATATACTCTGTTTACATAGCTACCTAATGGTGATTATGTACTTTCCCATCCGTTCCCTACATAGATCGAGCCGGTTTACTCAATAGTGATTATGTACTTTCCCAATCCGTTCTTCTTGTCCACAACCGTGGCCAAAGCCTTCACCCGCTCTAAATCCGCTAGGTCCGCGCTATCACCAACAATCGCCTCCAGTGTGGTCGATAGTAGGATGAGATCTTGTCTACTAGCGCAAGATATCTTACGCTAGTATTACTAGCGTTATATTGCCCGTACAATACAGGAAGATTAAATCTTAGCACCGTACAATATTAATGTGAAATCTCATGAGAATCTCACAAGATTCTGCACTAAACACGTGATTAATCCTATAACTTACAAGGCCCGTGCAATGCTTGTACAAACTTTCTACCAGGTTATTTCCAACTTTCCCTCGATTAGCCAGACCACATATCAAAATGTCATCAGCGCTGCCAGAATCTAGTGAAATTTCCGATCTTAATTCTGACATCTTTAATTCTCAATTGGTAGAATCTCCACCTCTACCATCAATTCAAAGCTCATCGTCATCAAAGAATGTTACTTGTACAAGCTGGGTATGGAGTCACGAGTATTGTTAACCGGCGCCGTAGGCGCCGGTTTGTAAGCCGCCTGCCGTGAAGCCACGTAAGCACGTGATTGGGCGTTGGTCACGTGACCACGACGCGTAAACCCAGTAATATTACCAACCCCTCCAAACCCACCTTCTTTCTTCTTAAACAACGCGACGATGACCTCCACCAACCCCGCCACCGCCGAGGCTTCTGGCCTCAAAGCCACTGGTAAGTTCAATTTGTTTCCTTTCCTTCTGTTTTGTTTGATTGATTACTGTATACTAACCTACGGATAGATGAAGCTCCCGCTCCCGCAACCACCACCTCACCAACCACCACCTCCACCACCACCACCGAGTCTGGCGCCGCACCAACGGCAACCGGTAAGTAACACCCCTCCCTCCGATAGATAGATGGATACTAACAACTGGATAGAAGAAGCTGCGTCCGAATCAACTGTCCCGGCCGCGACCCCACCCGCAACCTCCTCCACGGCGACATCCACGGCGACATACACGGCGACCTCCATGGCGACCGCAACACCCACCAGTAAGTAACACCCCTCTCCCCGCAAGATAGATAGATACTAACAACTGGATAGCTGAGGCTGGATCCGAAGCTGTGCGTCCTCCTGTGTCGTCTCCCGCGACGCCCGCACGCCCGTCCACAGCTACGGCCGTAAGAAGTAAGTAACACCCCTCCCCCGTCCGTAAACATTAGAGATCAATACTAACAGTATGTATAGGTTCACCGCGTCCGATTGTGCTCGACTCCCCGACTCCGCAACAGCAGATGGCGCTGCAGCTGCTGCACTCTAGCCTCCTGGAGGAACCCCGTCGCTCCCGCGCCCTCGCAGCTGTGCTCGCCCTCCCTGACGCCCGCCACTTGGAATTTCGCGCCCTCGACTCCTCCGACCCGCCGAACCTCGCGAGGATGCAGAACCTCGAGGCGGCCGTAGGGTTTACGGTCGGCGAGCTTGTCCAGCCGCCGTGTACCGACTGCGCGGCCGGATACGGCCAGTTTGCGGGTTGTGTCCGGGCGGAGGGGCTCCTCCATGGGAGCTGCACCAACTGCCACTTCGGTGGCGAAGGCGCGCGCTGCTCGCTCCGTGGTAAGTTTTCTCTCCCCCTCTTGTTTTGGTTTCTGTACTAACATGGATGGAATAGCCTCTGCGGTCCCCTTGGCGCCCGTTACGGGTAGTCCTTCAGGACGTTCAGGTAAGTCCCCTCCCTCCCTTATTGTTTGCGGTCCGTAACTAACTTGTAGAAGGTCTACGTGCCCGGCGCCCTGCTGCATCGGCCGCCTCATGCGCCACCGAGGCGCTTACGGGTGGGGTGGGCCGTGGCCTAAAGCGGCCCCCCCCCCAGCTGAAAGATCTGCGCTCGTTCCGCCGCGCCCGCACGTCGTCGCCCGCTCACGCTGCCGCCTCCCGCGCGCCTCCCACCCGCCGCCCTGACGACCCCTACTATGTTGGGAATGAGGAGGACCCCACCCACACCCTCCATGCCTGGATCGAGCGTTTCCGGGCCGCAAGCCCGGCCTCCCGTAGGAGGCTCCGCCTGGGGCACACCCTTGCCGGGGTGGCGATGGATTTCGTCACCTCTACGGAGGCTGCCCCTCGCGGGACCTTCTATACGGAGGTCGTGGTAGGGCCAAGGTCGGAGGAGGAGGAGGATGGAGAGGGATAGGGAGGGGAGGAGGGTGAGGAGGAGGCCTAAGGGCCGTATATTCATGTAAAGTAGTGTAGAATAGTAATTGACACGCCTACGGGCAATGAACCTTGTTTTATTTCTTGTAAAAATGTGATTAAAGTAACTGGTAGATGATTACGGACGTTTACGGATGGTGTTTAAACCCGTAAGCATATTACGGACGAAATCCAAACCTATAAACGCCCGTAACCACCCGTAAATAAAGTTAAGGTAAGCAGTAGAATAGTAGTATAGATAGTATTTCTAATTAATATCACATAATACCTCTGGATATACAACGTTAGGTGTAGTGTTATCGTCACCTTCCGGAAGTAGAACGTGTAAGCCAGCTACGGATGACGTCCGTGACATTGCAACGTAGAATTGCCCGTGACTAAATGTAGGTGCCCGTAAATCAACTCCAACAAACTTAAATGACTGGCCTTGAGACTTATTAATAGTCATTGCAAAACATAACCGGACTGGAAACTGTTTACGGGTAAGGATATATCGTAAGTCCCCCTCGTTCGTCTGGAGCTTTACCCTCGGAATTGTCCGTAACTGCCCGTAAAATTGTTCTCCAAGTAAGCGGACTGCAAGACAGTGCTGTGTTATGCTTAAAACAATCATACGTGACCCGTTACATAATCCTTCCTGCGGAACTATATTCCGTAAGAGCATTACAGGTACCCCAACCTTAAGCTGCAGAAAGGATAATGGTAGCTGGGCGGGTGAGCAATTCTGAAGCTCCTCAACTGGGACATGATGAAGATCGCCACCTCTATCATTAACGTCTGCAGTATCAATGGATAGTAAGGTTCGTACTGGACCTGGATACCGAGACAGTATAAGAGCGTTAAGGTGTAATACGGTCTCATTATGGACCGTAAGAATAGCCCGGTCCGTAAAGAGATCTTCTACATGATTATGCGGCCGTAATACATTATCTGGGTAGATTGCAGCAATAAGGCCATCTAATTCCTTTAACTGTGTAATATACGGCGGTATTAGTATTATGCCATTAAGTTGCGGATCGTATGGTATTCTCCCAATCCACGTAACAAATTCCTCATCAAGCACCCCACCTCGGACACGCATATTAACCCGTAAATGTAGCCGCCGAAGCCGTGGCCATACAAATGAGCACTGTAAACAGGCTTGGACAATCTGCGCTCGAGAACCCTGAGGCATTACGTCGAAACTAAACCTAGACCAGCTTACGTGCTTCCGTACGATCTGTACGGCTATTGAAGGTGATCCGCAAACAGCCCACTTCTACCTACAGGGCCCTGGGGGAACTGGAAAGACCTTTTTATATAAGGCTCTATGTCATTACTTCCGTGCGCAGGGGAAGTCTGTACTCTGTGTTGCTTCAACCGGAATTGCCGCCTTATTACTGCCTAACGGGTGTACATCTCATACCCAGTTTAAGATTCCTATAAAACTTGATAGTAAGACGTGTTGTTCTATAACCCGCAACTCAAGGCTCGGCATGCAATTACAAGAGGCTGGCCTTATTATATGGGACAAGGTTCCCATGCAACATAAATACTGCTTTGAGGCAGTACACCGGCTTCTATGCGATTTACGGTCCGTTACGGACGATGTTCTCTTTGGTGGCGTACCCGTATTACTCGGTGGCGATTTTGCACAGATCGCAAGAGCTGTCTCTATAACTGGATCAAAGCCTCGGCCTACATACGGGAGCCTTACGGACCATCCGTATTGCGGGAGTGGTAGGTTGAAGTCCGTAAGTGACTTTCAAATGTCCGTAAGGCCAACAGATAGTAGGTATAAGCCGTAATCAAGGTGTGACTCCTGTAGCGAGCTTATGGAAACACTCCTACGTTCGAGCTCTCGTAGTAAGTCGTCACAAAGGTGCTCCTTGAACCGATTCCAAAGGAGAAGCGGCTCAGCCATCATCTCCATCCGTAGACCTGTAAGAAATAGCGTCCGTAACCCATGACCACTCGTAAATATAATAGCCTCATTAAAGCATTCGACCCATTCCTGGTCATTTTCAACTAACCCGCGGGCAATACAGGCCTGGTGATAAGTTTCATGACAAATACCATCATATGTACGGAGGTCCCTAAATGACGTTGAGCCTCGGACTACAGTTAATAGCATCCGTAAATAGAACCGTTCGCCAGCCGTAGGGCTACAATGGAACATACGGCCGATATTCCGATCCATTCCCCTTTGCCGGGGCTTCCATTTACGGATCCGTTTGTCCCATACAAACTGCGAAGGGAACTCAGAGTATAATAAGGACTGACCATCCTCATACGTAGCGTTATAACGGAAGAACCCCATTAACGTACTATCCGTAGAGTTAAGCTTTGCAGCAAGCTCTTGGGAAGAAAGATTTTCTGGAAAGTACACTGGCTGTTTGTGCTCTAAATGGATTGAAAGCTGCGTTATGGGTGGCCATTCACCATGAGTTGGATACTCAAATAGGCGCCATATAGCCTCTGCAGACCCAATATACCGGCCTTGGATATAGCGGTCAATCTCATCATTAGACTCAACCGCAAGTGTAGTACGGTCAGAGCCCTTATAGATATATTTATGAATATATTTAACAGCTTGTACAGTACTACATACTTCAACGTTCATATGACAACGGTGTAATGGTGGGTGCACCAGATATGAGAATCTAGCCACCCAAGGAAGGGATGAATTTACTAAGACAACACACTGTCTTAGAAAACAGAGCCAAAGGGTTGTAGCTTAGACTATTCCACAACGCAGCAATCAGGTGTATGATGTGGTGAAGTGGTTTAGACAAGTTGCAACAAATGTTGAGTCTGAGAACTCAGGGGTAAGTCAGAGGTTAGCACCTCACTGACTTTTCAAAAACAGAGAATAACAAGATCAATGCTTGGAAGCTTGGAAAAGACGTAGAAGTATGTGCTAGTCGATTTACTGTATTGCCTGCTTGCCCTTTCTTAAGGAAAGGGCAATCCTATTTATGCCAAAGGAGTGTAGTTCTCTCATTTTCCATGACTTTCCATGACTAACCAGGCTTGGTAAATGTATTAGAAATCAAGTGCAACCCACAACTAGCTTGCTAATCATGTAGTGAACGTAAGAGAATCCCATAGAACCATCTCTTGGGTTCCTAGCCTATAGGAAGTGAAAAGGAGGTCCAAGGTCAGAGTACCTATAGACAAATTATGTCATAACTTAACCAATCTTGTGGGTAACTAAGGAGCGATGACGTGTAATGAATTATAGAGGGTTGTAGAAGCTTCTAGAGCTATCGTTCATGTTCCTAGGCCTCTAGTTGGTAGAGATATGCCATGTGGTAGTATTGGCCCACCCCCTTAAGGAGGAGAGTTTCTTAATAACTTGTTCAATGAGTGTCCAAATGATATGCCGTGATGTATGTAGCATAAACAGATGTAGTAGAAGAGTTTGCAGCAATCGTTGAGTAGTATTGCTTCTGTTGTTGGTGTGATAAGCCAAGATATGTATGGTGACTTGTAGGTTTGAGGAGGAGATTTCTAAGTTTGCTCTTGAGTTTGATAGCAAACTGAGTGCAACGAATGTCAGTATGACAAACGGTATTTCTGAAGTAGATACGGGTTGTATGGAACTACCCACTGGTTATTACGGACGACGTTTTCAGTCCGTAAGCCTGGCCGTGGGACCGTAAACGTCCGGCCATCATTGCGACGCCTGTATTGAGGGTATCCCTCCTCGGTAACAATAGTAGCAGGTGCAAATGGCTTTGGGAACTGTTTCGTACATTGTAGCAGTAATGCAGGTGATTTACGGGCCATACACGGTGCCCGTAAATGATCATCTCCACATGGCCCATGGGTCATTGTGGAAATTATCACATCCGTAAGCTCGCCCGTAACATCCCAAGCTGGATCCGGGAGCTCCGCGCAGACCACCTCATCAATTAGGGACGGAACGTTAAATTGGAACCCCTGAATGAAGAGTAATAGGTGCATATGTGGTAGGCCCCGTTTCTGATACTCAATAGTATATACGTGGCCGACATACTGCCCAAGCACACCATCCTTAAGGTCCGTAAGTAGGCTACGGACCTTTAGGTGGAATACTCGGGCAATAAGATCCGGCCGATCCGTAGCTTGCTGACCTGGAAACAGTGCATTTGTAACCTCTGGCCATTTTGGATTAGCCGTAAAGGTGATAAAAAACGTAGGCTTTCCAAAGTGGCGTACAATAGCCATCGAATCCTGATAAAGGCGCTGCATTGCACGATCACTACCCGTAAAGCTTGAAGGTAATACAACGCGATGGCTGAGACTATCCATATCAACGTCGTCGCGAGAGATAGCGTCAGCTAAGCCACTGTACACATCTGAACGGATGGATTTTTGGTTGTTACGGAGCCAACTTAGGGCTGTAGACTCGCAAATCACCATGGAAGAGGCGCCCAGCATGGTGTAGAGTATTAAAACACTCGTTACGGGTGAACATGTAGAAGCGGTAGAATGGTCTTTGCTCTAGCCGCCGTTGCTGCCGTGGACCGTTATTCTCCCATAAGGTAAGACCCCAATGCCACCCGTATTCACCAAAGACAAATAAGAGCACGTAGTGGAGTGGCATATAAGAGGCATGCGTAACATGAACCTTTGATAGCTGCCGCCGCCCGTTTGAAGTGTTACGGAAGGCTAATACCAAGTCTCACGGACCGGAATCTCCTAGCTCCTCCGGAATAACAGCTGCAATCTCATCACTTGTTGGTAGGTTCTCGCGGCGCTTATCAGCACCACTCTCGACTATAAGACGCATCTGCGGGTTGAGTATGACCCGTTGCGGACTATTACCATCCGGAACAGCCGCAAGTCGCTCCCGAGCTGTCTTATATATGTGGATAAACGGATTATGGTCCGTAAGCAGCTGTAGTAACTGGCTAAGAACCGTAGAATCGAGTTGCGGGTGCTGTAATCGACGGGCTTCTGTAGCATAAGAAGGGTCGTAAAAGAAGAGCTGCGCAAAGGTAGGGGTTTCCTGGGTATTAGGCTGTAATGGGCCCTGGTAGTGGAATAGCTCGCCGTGGATCTGGAAACTCTGTATTCCAGAGTTCTCATTAATCCATGAATCGCGAGTA